TATTCTAAATGTATTCTATAAGTTAACTCATTTAATCCTCACAACCTCTCTATGCAGGAGGTGCCATTGTTAATCGATTTTATAAAGAAACTGAAGCAGAGAGAAATCTGGTAACTGGCCTTAGTTTTGCAGGGCTGGGTCTGACCCCAGGCAGGCTGGTTTCAAAGCAAGTGCTCTAACCATAGTTCCTCATGTTAAACCCTTGGTGCTAATTGTTTTGGAATTCAGAATTTTTCTGATTTTAGAATGGATGTACATTGTAGATGCCTTTATATTTAGCTCTGGGGCAGTACTCTGTCATCAAACTGAATTATTCTACATTAACATATACAAATGTAGACATCATTTCAGGTCACATTTTGTCACCAAATGATTTTGAAAAAATTGGATTTTCAAGCCGGACTTGGTGGCTCAGCCTGTAATCCCGTGCCTTTGGGAGGCTGAGGTGAGTGGATTGCCTGAACCCGTGGGTTCGAGACCCGCCTGGGCAGCGAAACCTCCTCTCTACAATAAATCAAAAATCAGCTGGGCGTGGTAGCGCGTGCCTGTAGTTCCAGCTAGGAAGGCTGAGGCGGAAGGATCGTTGGAGCCCAGCAGGTCGAGGCTGCGGTGGCCGGGAGCGGCCACTGCACTCCAGTCTGGGTGAGAGAGTGACACTCCAACTCGAAAAAAAAAAATTGAATTTTCAGAGGATTTTGGAATTTCAGACAAGGGATTGCGGGCCTGTACTCCATGTAGCCTCTCACAGAGATCTTCATCAAATGAAGTGACTTGGGGCTAGAGCAGGGAAAGAGTTGCACTGAATTTGTAGTTCTCATTTTAAAAAGCAGCTTTGTATTCCCCCAATCACAAGGAGCAAGTATCACTTCTGAAAGTTCAGCCAATGTAGAACGTTTTTTTAAAGAAGAAAGTGAAAATCATCTGTAATCTTGCAATCCAGAGAGATCAACTACTGTTGACCCTCTAGATTTTTTTTTAGATAGATTTTCCTTTATGTATGAACACGAATAGGACAAAAAGTCTATTTTTTTTTTTTTTGAGTTGGAGTCTCACTATGGCACCCAGACTAGAGTCCAGTGGCTGCTCCTGGCCACCGCAGCCTCGACCTGCTGGGCTCCGGCGATCCTTCCACCTCAGCCTTCCGAGTAGCCGGAATTACAGGCATGCGCTACCACGCCCGGCTGATTTTTTGATTTATTGTAGGGATGAGGTCTCGCCTGCCCAGGCAGGTCTTGAACCCACGGGCTCAGGCAATCCACTCACCTCAGCCTCCCAAAGGCGCGGGATTACAGGCTGAGCCACCGAGCCCGGCTACAAATAGTCTATTTTAAGTGGGTTTAATTTGTCTAGATTCAGATTCTCTACCACTAACTGAATGTGTGTCCTTGGGGAAGTTAACCACTCTGTGCTTTGCTTTCTTTAGCCGTACAATGGGGGTTATAATCGTGCCCACCTCATAGGGTTTTTGTAAGGGTTATGTGATTAGTTACATATGAAGCATTTAGAACAGTGCCAGGATCATAGTGCCCATCAACTTACTATTATTATAATTTCATGTTCTGTCACTTGCTACTTTTAGTTTTCACATAATAGAGCATAGACATTGTTCTAAGATAATAAAAGTAGAGCCGCTATAATTTTTTTTATTTTGTTTTATTTGTGTGTATGTGTTTTACTGGCCCATTCCCCTGGAGGCCATACAGAATTTTTAATGGTAACGTATTGTTATTTATTTATTTATTTTTGAGTTGGATTCTCACTCTGTCGCCCAGACTGGAGAGTGCAGTGGTCGCTCCCAGCCACCACAGCCTTGCCCTGCTGGGCTCCGGCGATCCTTCCACCTCAGCCTTCTAAGTAGCTGGAACTACAGGCGAGTGCTACCACGCCTGTCTCATTTTTTGATTTATTGTAGAGATGAGTTCTCGCCAAGTTGCCCAGGCGGGTCTTAAACCCGCAGGCTCAGGCAATCCACTCACCTCAGCCTCCCAAAATCGTGGGATTACAGGCTGAGCCACCGAGCCCGGCTCAACATATTGTTATTTTATGTCAATATTCGTTGATTTATTTAAACACTGCAAATGAATGTTTGTATCTATTTCTTTCTCATTTGTCCACCTATCTCATTAGATTAATTCCTTAGAAATGGAATCACTGACTGGAAGTATTTGCATTTATACTATCTTTATGCAGATTACTTAATTTACATTAAATATTATATTTTTGTATGTTTCCACATATGACCATTTTGGGGGACCCTTGTTCTGCTACTTGCTTCACTTTATACGGTTGATTTTAAAAGCTAGGACTTCTAGGCCAGGTGCAGTGAGTGACACTTGTAATCTCTCAGTACATTGGGGGGCTGAGATGGGAGGATTGCTGGAACCCAGGAGTTGAGACCAGCCTAGGCAACACAGTGAGACCTCCTCTCTACAAAAAATTTTTTAAAAAGTAGCCAGATGTGGTAGCGCACACCTACAGTCTCAGCTACTTGGGAGGCTGAGGTGTTAGAGTGATATAGTGCTTTGACTAAACCACTATATTAGATTTTCTCGTCGGGCCAGGAGGTGGAACCCTTGGGTAGGCAAAAGTTTTTAACCAGAAACAGCTAGACTGTATGAAGGACAACAGGTTGGGATTAGCCTCCTTCGTCATGATCCTGTGGGCCACAAAAGTAGAGAGCGCTAACTCGCCGTACACCTCAGTCAGTGTCTCAGCACTGCTGGTCAGTGCAAGAACTGTTCCTAGGGGAGATTCGTTTCTGTGGTCAGATCCCAGGGGCTGATTGGTGTCTGTTCTATTAGGAAAGTATTCAAAGTAGCTGATGCCACATAGTGTTCTTAGATGTTCACCCCATACTTTGAAGACTGGTGGCTTCTCAGTAAATCACATTAAGTTATCCCTTGTGGTTGCTGTGGCTCACGCCTGTAATCCCAGCCTTTGGGAGGCCAAGGCAAGAGAATTGCTTGAGTCCAGGAGTTCGAGACTAACCCGGGCAACATAGCAAAATCTCATCTTCACAAAAAAGTAAAATAAAATTTAGCCGGGCATAGTGGTGCACATTTATAGTCCAGCTACTCTGAAGGTTAAGTCAGAAGGATCACCTGAGCCCAGGAGGTCAAGACTGCAGTGGACTGTGATCATGACACTGCACTCAGTGACTGGAAGACAAAGTAAAACCCTGACTCAAAAAAAAAAAAAAAAAAAAGGTTGCTGGGTACAATGGCTTACACCTGTAATCCCAGTACCTTGGGAGGTGGAGGTGAGAGGATTGCCTGCCTAAGCCCAGAGGTTTGAGACCAGCCTGGGCATCTTGGTGAGACCTTGTCTCTACAATAAATAAATAAATAAATAAATATCTGTGCATGGTGGCATGCACCTGTAGTCCCAGCAACTTGGAAGGTTGAGGCAGAAGTGTCGCCTGAGCCCATTAGGTCGAGACTGTAGTGGCTGGGAGCATGCCACTGCACTAAGGCTGGGCGACAGAGTGAGACTCTAACTCAAAAAAAAAAAGTTATCCTCAGGTTAGGTCACAAGGATGAAAGTCCTCTGCTCCATTTTCTCAACCTCGAGACTTTGTAAATGACACCATTAATAATAGTCTGAACAGGGCTTTTCAAACCATGTCCAATAACCCTTGCTGAAGAGGGAAACTAAACTGTCCTCCTAAATTGGAGCACCTCAATTGCTATCAGGTTAATGTAGTGTTGGGATTCCTTCTACTTAAGATAGCCTTTGAAAAAGGAGTCCTGCAGTTTTAACAAAAAACAAATAAGCAAAACATATTCCTGTTAGCCTTTGAAAAAGGAGTCCTGCAGTTTTAACAAAAAACAAATAAGCAAAACATATTCCTGTATTTACTGACACCAGCATATTGGGACAGATTACTTTGGTCTTGAGCAAACTAAAATTGAGATGTAGAGTGAGGGTTTAGGGGAAATAGCAATTGTTCTTTCAAAGACAGTAGGCTTTGAAATTATGCTTCTGTGAGACATTTGTTATCCCTAAAATTTCCCAGCATAAGCCAACTTTCTGCTTTTTTCAAAATGTGGTCAACATAGCTGAGGTCCAACCTGGATGGCCTTTGGTGTGAAGCTCATGGTTTCATTAGAATCTCTTCCCTTTGGGCCTTGAAAGTCTGCTCCACTTGTGCCAGTGTGAGGCTGGCTGGCTATGTGAGGCCAATAACTGTGACTCACAAGACAAATAGCTGCATCTCTGTTGCCCAGGCTGCAGTGCAGTGGCTTGATTACAACTACTGCGGCCTCAACCTGCTGGGCTCAGGCGATCTTTCTGCCTCAGCCTTCCAAGTAGCTGGCACTATAGGCGCACGCCACCATGCCTAGCTAATTTTTTTATTTATTGTAGAGACAAGAACTCACCATGTTGTTCAGACTGGTCTTGAACTCCTGGACTCAGGCAGTCCTTTCGCCTTGGCCTCCCAATGTGCTGGGTTTTTAGGCCTGAGCCAGTGCGCCTGTCTCTCTCTCTTTTTTTCACCTTTGTTAGATAACAACAGTTATTTTTAAATTGCATCCAGATATTTAGCCTCTACATATGCTTCTCCCCAGACCTCCTCACATTCTTTCCTTTGTGGCTTCTGTTAGGCTGTTAAAGGGATGTGAAGGAGAGTTAACATTTGTTGAGCACCTAGTATTGCCCGATATTGTGTTAGGTGCTTTGAATGTACTATTTAATACCAAATAACTTTATGAGATAGATATACTCATTTCTAAATTGAGGTGAGCAAATTAAACCTGAGAGAGGCTAAGTAACTTTCCTCCAGCTCAGGTTTCTCTGTTAATTATGAAAGATGTATTGTTAAATCAGTGGTAATGTCTCTGAGACCCTCAAGTCCAGTTTTGTCTCTGCCTTACCCCTATACTTCCTAGTATGGGTTCCCATTTTGCTACTGTTTCAGGGAAAGGTGATCTATAGATAGCCCACCGATGGGTTGTTGTGAGATCCTGAATCCTAACCATGGTATCATTGACTTCCCCCAGGGTCCTATCCTTCCCCCAAAGCCGGAGCAACTCTGGTTGTGTACAAGGACTTGCTAGTGCTGTTTGGTGGCTGGACGCGGCCAAGCCCTTATCCCCTACACCAACCGGAGAGATTCTTTGATGAAATACACACTTACTCACCCTCTAAAAACTGGTAAGTCACGAAGATAAGATCCTTTAAATCTGGAAGAAAAGGTTTTAGATCAGTGGATTCTTTTTGTTTTTTGTTTTTGGTGTCAAGAATCCTTTTGAAAGTTTGATGAAAAGCTATGGACTATTTTCCTAGGAGGACAAAATGTATGTATGGACAGATTTTACCCACAGTTTCAGAGGGTTTACAGGACCCCATAAAATTAAAACCCTTATTCCAAAGGGAAGAAGGATAATAGATTTATTCCTCTCCCAAAAAAACCGAATGAGACAGTTGAAGAACAGGGAACTCTTAAGCATTAGCTACTAATTCTCCAGAAGTATTATACATACAGGTAATTCCTTACTTCCTGCTGTATCTTCAAGATGTACTCCCAGCTGTTTTTCACACACAAAAAAAGTTGTGGTTTTTCTTTTTGTTTGTTTTTGTTCTGAGTCAGGTCTTACTCTCGTCCAGGCTAGAGTGCTGTAGCATGATCATTGCTCTCTGCAGCCTTGAATTCCCGGACTCAGGAGATCTTCCTGCCTCAGCCTCCTGAGTAACTGGAACTACAGGCATGTGCCACCATGCCTAGCTAATTTTTTTATATATATATATATTTTTTTTTTTTTTTTTGAGAGAGAGAGATGAGGTCTCACAGTGTTTCTCAGGCCAGTCTCAAACTCCTGGGCTCAAGCAATCCTGCCACCTTGGCCTCCCAGAGTGCCAGGATTACAGGTGTAAGCAAGCCACCACACCCGGCCTCATACATACATACATATGGAGAGAAAGAGAAACAAAAACAAACCCCTGTTTTTTGTAATGGAATACTTAATACATGGCTCTTGGCAGCTGCTACTGATTAGGACCGTAGACAGAAGTGGCAGATGGTACCCCTTTTGCAAACCAGACTGAAGCAGCCAAGAAGCCATGATCTTGTCCCTTGTCATTGTCTTCTCATCTGTCTACCTCTATGCCATCTATGTTGAGAACTTGAAAGTGAATATAACTTTAAGCAAGTTTGTAGGAAAAGCATAAATACTTTATGCCATTCTCCATTTATCCTAACAATGTCTCCACTGACAGAATTGTCATTTTATTTTATTTTATTTTATTTTATTTTATTTTATTTTTGAGTTGGAGTCTCACTC